GCACGATTTGAGAAAATGTGTAGTGATTTGCAGGCACATTCATCGCATTAATTATTGAATATTAATGTAATGTTAATAAAGTATTTTTTAAAAATAATGAAGATACACGAGTTTTATTTATTTTTATCTCTTATTTACGAATAGTCATACCTAGGGTAGGGCGCCATGGAAAAATTTCAATTGAAAAGGGGCGCCACGACCAGGAAAAGTTTTAGAACCACCGATGTAGTATATTGTAATTTCACATAAAACTTTGCTTTATTGACAATCCCGGATTCAAATCCCGCTTGGGATGCTAAAGCTGCAGTCTACTCCTCTCTTTTGGGAAATAAGGCTATGTGAAATTCACTGATAACATAAGGTATATTCACATGATTGTGATAAAATTTAACTGCCAGTATTTCATCACATGTTTACATTCCTAAATCTGTACACGATTTCGACTGTTGTTTTGTGAGGGTCAGATTCCGTGAAATCCAATTGTTTTGATGGGCATATTTATTTAATTGTGGACATATGCAAGTATCATCCTTTAAGATCACCTTTGGCACCCAGGCTGACCCCAGTTCTCTCAGTTTATAAGCCTACTTATCCGGTACCTAACTTCTAGCTTACTGCCGCACTGCATTATGAGTTATTCACAGCTTCTGACAGTATCACTGAAAGGGGGCATAACTGGTCTGATACGAGAGAGGCCTTGCTAGATCAGTTGTATGAGGCCCGGCGGTAGGCATGAAACGTTCGTTTACCGCGACAATTCGCCTGCTTTTGAGCATGCCTTGAGCACATGCCTCAACGACATGTCTAAAGTCACCCTCATGCCCATAAAAACAGCCCCAATTTAGTGCTCATACTTGTTCCCACCAATGTCATAAGCAGTAACGATATTTTTTGATGCCCACCCACCCACACACACACACACACACACACAAGCACAAGATAAGGCTAGAAACATGCATCACTTTGCTTCTTCTGAGAGCGCAGCAAGTCTGCAAACCAAATGAAGCAAATTAAAATGATAATTGTATCGCATTTTTGGCACGCCCGTACCAAATGCCGGCCTTTCATCTGACAAACATGAGGTTAGGTTAATTAGTGAGAGATCTTCTGTCAGCTCATTAGCAATGGCTCTCACATACACTTCATCGGGGCTGGATCTGGCCTGATCGTGGAGGTGGCATTGTCATTGCAAGACTAACATTATCAGACCTGAATTGGACCTAAAATCGATGTCAGCCCAACCCGTGGTTGCCGTGAGCCTCGGGTAATTACTCGTCTTGTGTACCTCGGCTTGACTGTCGTTCTTCGTGAGTGTGTTGACCACAGACGCAAGCTCGAGTCCCGAGCCTGAAGTCGGTCGTCTCGCTTCCACAATCGCAATAAAGTCGACATTTCTGCGTTCAACGCTCGCGGCTACGGGACTGCCTTGTTGTCGGCCCATTCTGGTCGGGTGAATCTGCAGAAAATGCCACAGCCAAGCGACCGGCCAACCGGCCGTTTCGACAGTAAACGATGCTGAACTACAATCTTCACCAAAAACTATTAGGTCATGCCGTATTTTCCCTCAAAATGGCCCGTCAACCCCCTCTACACGAACTATAAAAAGTGCGCACCGTCTGTGGCTATCATCTCTACTTGGTGGTCAACAAATATAAACAAAGCCCATGATAAACGGGACATTTTATTCATGCGGCTGTTTTGAAAGTTTGAGAGTCTGCCCCGATTGGGACTGGCATAAAAGGTTTGTGCTTGGGACTCCGGTACGAGGCAAGACCTCGAGAAGGAGAACACTATACCAGGTCCGATCCCGACGACTGCGAATCGTGTAGATAACCCGAGACTGGGTCGAATCCCCTTGCAACTGCAGTGGGTGGGCCACGACCTCTGCCACACGCCTCCGATTGTCGGCCTGATCGAAGCTGCAGTACGAAGTTGGCGGTCTGACCCAACCTGTAGCTCATGGTTCGTCTCGGTCTCTGCCCTCTTTATGCTATGGAGACAGCAGACAACGAGGAGGAAGAGGAGGAAGAGGAGGAGGAGGGGGTTGGAAGTCTGTAGGGCAGGCCCTCTATGACCCCCTTGCAGTGAATGGAGACAGGTGATACAGGGACGAGCGAACGGTGAGGGCGAGACTGAGATGGGCCGAGTGACTGGGAAAGGCCGGAAGACAATGAGAGGAGGAAGAATAAAAAGTCCGAGTGCGAGATCAGCCTAGACCTTGTCCAGTAGACCTGAAGCGTGGAGGGCTGGTTTTGCACAAAGTGTCCAACGTAGTAGGGTTCACTTGGCTCGCTGATACCGTCAACCGGAGATCGAGGAAGAGCAGGTTAGAGGGGTCGAGCCCGGACCAGAGAGCACCACTTGACGTATCCAGCGGCAGGTTCACTCTCTCTTTCTCGTCAGATGCAGCTCAGGTGGGACTCGAGCCCAGGATGGGCTGGATTAAAGCCGTATCTCGTGTTTTTTATTTATTATAAGTGGGTCTTTGAAACCGCTGGTGGATCATATGAATGAGACGTATTCACCCTATTTATTTCGTTAATGGGATGAAGCAATGAGAGATTAATTCTCCCACAATCATATGCGTAGGTCTCATGTTTCTATTGAATTTCACATGGCCTTGTCCCCTTAAGGATATTCTCGCCTCATTATCGCGGTTCGAGTCCTGCTGTGGGTGCTGATGAGACCGGTCGAGACT